AAAGTCGGACGCTTAACCGACTAAGCCACCCAGGCGCCCCTGCTGTGCAGTTTTTTATCTTGATGAGGTCCCAATAGTTCATTTTTGCTTTTGTTTCCCTTGCCTCTGGCAACATGCCTAGTAAGAAGTTGCTATGGCTGAACTCAAAGAAGTTGTTGCCTGTTTTATCCTCTAGAATTTTGATGGTTTCCTGTCTCATGTTTAGGTCTTTCATTCACTTTGAGTTTATTTTTGTGTATGGTATAAGAAAGTGGTCCAGGTTCATTCCTCTGCATGTCGTTGCCTAGTTTTCCCAGCACCATTTGCTGAAGAGACTGTCTTTATTCCCTTGGATATTCTTTCCTGCTTTGTCAAAGATTAGTTGGCCATACGTTTGTGAGTCCATTTCTGGATTCTCTCTTCTGTTCCATTGATCCATGTGTCTGTTTTTGTGCCAGTACCATACTGTCTTGATGATTACAACTTTGCAATACAGCTGAAGTCCAGAATTGTGATACCTCCAGCGTTGGTTTTCTTTTTCAGGATTGCTTTGGCTATTCTGGGTCTTTTGTGGTTCCATACAAATTTTAGGATTGTTTGTTCTAGCTCTGTTAAGAATGCTGGTGTTATTTTGATAGGGATTGCTAGAAAATCTTAATGTTTAAGAACAAATTAAATGGGGGGGGGCGCCTGGGTGGCTTAGTCGGTTAAGCTTCCGACTTTCGCTTAGGTCATGATCTCGCGGTTCGTGGGTTCGAGCCCCGTGTCGGGCTCTGTGCTGACTGCCAGCTCAGAGCCTGGAGCCTGTTTCAGAGTCTGTGACTCCGTCTCTCTCTGACCCTCCCCTGTTCACGCTGTCTCTCTCTATCCTAGAAATAAATAAAAATATTTAAAAAAAAAAAAAAAAAACTAAATGGGGCTCCAGGGTGTCTCAATTAAGGGTCTGACTTTGGTTCAGGTCATGGTGTCACAGTTTCTGAGTCTGAGCTCTGCATCAGGCTCTGTGCTCGGCTTTGGATCCTCTGTCTCCCTCTCTTTGCCCCTTCCTCACTCATGTACTGTCTCTCAAAAATAAACAAACAAACATTAAAAAAAGAAAAAAGAACTGAATGAAACAAAAGAACTCAACAATCAAATTAGTAATTGTATCCTGAGAACAACCCAGTCTAGCATTTGCCTTGACAAAAAGGAGATTTCTGAGCTCAAATCCATACTGTATGAGTGTAGTTCTATAGTGATTAAAGTATCTACTTAATGCCACAAACGCAGTTACAAATGAAAATTCCTCCTTTTAGAAGGTGGTCTAAAAGGGAGAGATTAAAATGCAGTGCGATGTTACATGCACAGAAGAACATGTAAAATATTACAGGAACACAGGTGAAGAAGCAGTTAAATCTGCTTGGTGTAAGAGTCGGGGAAGAAGTGTTAAGGATAGTTAACAAGAAGGGGCGCCTGGGTGGCTCAGTCAGTTGAGCTTCCGACTTTGGCTCAGGTCATGATCTCACAGTTCGTGGGTTAGAGCCCCGCATCTGGCTCTGTGCTGACAGCCAGCTCAGAGCCTGGAGCCTGTTTCAGATTCTGTATCTCCCTCTCTCTGACCCTCCCATGCTCACGCTGTCTCTGTCTCATAAATAAATAAAAGATTAAAAAAAAAAAGGATAGTTAACGAGGGGAAGTGGCATTTAAACCAAGCCTATAAGGAATGGGAATCTGCCAGATACAGTAGAGAGAAGGGCATTCAGGTGAAGGAAACAGTAAGTTTATACTCAAATTTGCACGGACAATTAGGAAGACACATACTCCAAATCATTGCTAAGAATGCTCCAAAAAAAGGGCTCCTCTGATAAAAATGCAAAGTTACAGAGAAGGGATATTATTTGCTCTGGAGAAATGATTTTCTGGAATCTGTGAGGTGAGTCAACCATCTTTTGTAGGCAAAATAATCTCAAATACAAGAATGATAAAGAAAATTAGCTTTATTTATGTAAATTAAAAAATTGTAGTGTTAGATTCTGTCAAGTGTTTTCATTCTGAGCAATTTACAAGAGTATTTATATACAAACATAATAAAATAGAGTACATCACATTGTTCTTTCTTGACTCAAAGTATTTTTTTCTCAATTCTGAACATGCCCCTATCACTCCAGTTTTTAATTTTTAACAGGGAAATACTATGTTGTGACATAGTGCTTGATTCTTACATATAACACTGAAGTGGAAGGAGAGTCAATGATCACCAACAGTTAAAAAATATTTTTTCAACCAATATGACTCTATCATTAGATTTTTTCTATATTAAAATATGTTTCATGATAAAAAAACATACTTGCATTCGTTGATGATCTAAATTTGTTTTGCATAAACCCATAGTTGACCTAAATATAGATATGAATCTATATTAAACTCATTTATGAGAATGTCATAAATGAAAATGAACAAAATTGTCAGGAACAGAGGTAAGACAAAATCCTCTGAGAAATTAAGTGGAGATGCCCTATTCTATTCAAAATAAGTAAAATTTCCATTTCTTGAACCCAAAATAAGCCAAACCAAAAGGTGATGAAAAGCCATTACATTTATAGACACCAGATCTTAAGTCACACTGTAGGGCTGTAGTTAACTCGTACTACTATATATTGTGTAATTCTAAACCAAGTTTCCTAAATAGCTTTCCAATCACTTATGTTGTCTGAGAAATCCAAGGAGGTTTAATATAATTACTGAATAAGGCAGATTTTTAAATTAGCAATTGGGATACAATATAAATGCAGATAATTTATACTAGAGTCAAATCTATATCTGTCAAAATATTAAGTATACCGTATGTGTATGGACTGTCAGAAGAAAACCCTTTCATTTTTAAAGCAGTGGACTGTTTAATATGTTCAGTTCTTTAGCACTTTCTTGAAATTCCTGGCAAGAGCTCTGTGGTTTTACTAAATTGAAAAAAAAGAAAAACCCCACAAAAAATGTTAAGTTTGATATTACTTTGAAAAGTCACAGCTATTTAAGACAATCAACCAGACCTCCAAGTGCACTTGTGTCTAAAATGTCACTTTTGTCTCCAAAGAGAAGAAAATGATCGAGTATTTTATTAAGGTGCTTACTAGTAAAACAAAAAAGTCAGAGGAAATTGGTCTTTAATTGGATGCTTGCATTTTTTCCAGGGTTCTTGGTATGTTTAGATGTTGGTATCTTGACTTTGACACTTTCTTGATTGCCCTTGATTGCAGCCTCAAGCCGGGCTTTCAGGGCCGGAGAAGAAGCCATTACATTTTTAAAAACTGATGAATACTGAGGCCCAATCTGCATGAGATGTTGCAAAGCAAAGTCATGTAAACTTTTCATTATGGAAGTTGCTGATCCCAGAGTATTATCATCCAAAAGGAAGGAAATGAGGATGGGCAAAAGACAGGCCACCAGCTGAGAACCTAGCAAGTAAATAAATGATATAAGTTCTGGGTTGAAGGAGAATTGATTCACATTTATTACACAAAGTTGTAAACTCAATCTGTTGATCTATACATGCCTTTCCCTACTGAAGGGGTAGGAAAAAAAAAAAAAGGCTTCTAATTTCTCCTCTCAAATTAACACTCAGTAATATCAATACCTGGAATTAACAACACTAGCCTTTAAATGAATGTGGGAAAATAACGTTAAGTGACCAACAGAATGTTTTACATTTAAAACAATGTTAAGTTTCTGATTTGGGACAGGTTTTATTTAGTATGAATTTAGTGCTGACACTTACGGTGCTGTTCTTCAGCAACGGCTACAAGTGCTTCTAAGACCTTTATGCCTTCTTGAAAGACCTGAAGCTCAGTAGTGTCTTCTGGCTTTCTCTTATCTATTTCTTGCAGTTTTTCCACAATAGAGGATACTAAAGAGTAAATGTATGGGTAGGAAACAGCTGGATTTGGATACTGAAAAATGGAAAGTAGGAGTTGATAGGTCTTGATTTGTACCTAATCAGGGAAGAGACAAAAATAATATGAACTGTAAATATAAATTTACATTTATATTAACATGCAGACTGTAATGTAAATTTGAAAAAAAGGAAATTAAAAACTGAATTAAAAACTTTAGATAAGTCTAAAAAGAGATTTAAACTTTTAAGTTTATGTATTTATTGTGAGTGAGAGAGAGAGAGAGAGAGAGAGAGAGAGAGTGTGAACGAGTTGGGGTGAGGCAGAGAGAAAAGGAAAAAGAGAATCCCAAGTAGGCACTGTGCTGCCAGCGCAGAGCCTGAGTCGAAATCAAGAATTGGGTGCTCAACCAACTGAACCACTCAGGCACCCTCCATTTAAATTTATTTCTTGATTTATCTTTAGTTTTGGAAGTTCAAGTGCTAACAGGTGTTAAAAGTGGGACAACAGGCCCAAAATGGAGTCAGCTGGGAGAAGTCCATGTCACCAAAAGAAGACTCAATACCTAATTACAGTGTCAACCTCTCCCAGTATTGGAATCTTATACTGGTCAATCTGGAATTACCTGGTCAGCACCAGTGAAGTAATCTGTCTGACAGACCCCGAATATCCCTCTACCCAAGGAAGGTGGCTTTGAATAAAACAATCCACTCTTTGCTAGTAAAGTCCTCATCCCTCCCCCTTTTGTTTATAAATCTTTGATTTTACACAGCTCGGCAGAGATCTCTTCAATTTGGATTCATTTCATGAATCATTGAATAGAGCCAGTAAGACCTTTAAAATTTACTCAACTGAGGGGCGCCTGGGTGGCTCAGTCAGTTAAGCATCCGACTTTGTCTGATGGAATCATCTCAGTTGGTGAGTTCGAGCCCCACATCAGGCTCTCTGTGTTCAGTGTGGAGCCTGCTTCGGATCCTCTGTCCCCCTCTTTTTGTAACTTCCCCTGCTCATGCTTTCTCTCAAAAATAAATAACATTAAACAAAATTTACTCAGTTGAATTCTGTTTTCTTGACAGATTTGGGGCAAGGCAGTGCTAAGGAAATTTCTGAAGGCTTCAGGGAGAAGGAGAAACACAGGTTGGACTGGTGGTTCAGTCAGCAGTCACCGTTTTTTGGGGTCTGCTGGTTCTACTCCTTCCCCAGCCCTCATTTCTGCACTGGGAATTGCTGGTGATGCACACAAGGCCTTCTACTGGCCAGTCCACAGTAACATCAGTTTGGTTACTGTATTAATGTGCTCATGAAGTAAAAGACCACTGCAGATGGAAATCTAGGAAGTCAAAAAGCTGCACAATTGGTAGGCACAGGTAGAGTACACAAAAGTTGTCAGCGCTTGCTACCTAACTCTAAAACTCCTGTGTAGGATAAACTGATTATGGAGTGGGTTAGACTGACACAGGTTACCCACCAACCTCAAGAAAATTTCTGTGCAGCAAAGTACACTGTAAAACACCATATAATCCCCAACTCAGCAGCACATCCCTCTTAAGCAGTAGTTTGGCTCTGAGAGACTCAAAGACTTAAAGAAATGGGATCCTTAAATTCCAAAAAGTTGAGCACTGAGCCTTCTGGCACACCTGCTTATTTTATGTCTAAGAACTACTGTCTCTATAGCTATAAAGACCTACAAAAATGGCAAAATCTTACTAAAGGCAGCCTAGAATTACAATGGCCATTATGGAGAAAGTGCCAATTAGACAAGGTCGTTTATTTAAGAAATGCACTTAAAAGCAAGGGTTCCCAAATCCAAAGAGGATGGGATACCTATTTTAAATGTTATGCAGAAGCTTCCAGAAGGCTTCAAGATTCCAAAATAAGCTTCACTGAAAGTTTCATTGCAAAAAGCAAATAAAAATTTAAAGACACAAAAGGTATGTAAAATCACATCTCCCACACCGCAGCCCCCTAGGGACCCATCATCAAAACACTGGCACAGAAACTGAGGTCTCATATCTAATTAACTGCAACACTGGAAAAAGGATTGTTCTCAACAGTTTTGTGAAAATCCTTCAACACCAATTTGAATGCTCACATATCTACCTTAGAAGGAAGGCCCCATTATGGGATCCTCCCAGAGCTGATGAGATTCTGAGGGAATTTCTGCTACACTGCTACATCATTCCTTAAAGAGACAAGGAAAATTGTCAAACAAAATTGAAATTAATGGAAAACCTCACCAAATCCTGGTAGATACTGGAGCTACACTGTCTATGTAAATCCCATTCAGAGCCTGCACGTGGGATTCTGGGCAAACTGGTAGAAGCTAGCTAAGGAGGATAATCCTTACCAGAGTCTACTCTCCCAGATCTCTGTCTGTAGTAACCAGTAGAGAGAGGAATATAAAACATCTTTTGCACCCTCTTTCAGGATGCCTCTTGAATTCAAGGAGTTGTTCAATATGACCAGGAATATTTACTACTTGTCCTAAGTAAAACCTGACATGGTATTTGAAATAACTTTCTTTAAAATAACTTTTTTTAACTCTATGGTTAGAAGTTGGCCAAACTGGAAGCTGATTTTCAGAGCCTAACGGAAACATTTTGTAAGGATTCCTTCCCTAAGTTAAAATGAAACTACGTACCCACTGAAACATTCCAAAAAACACACAACTCCAAATCTAAAACACAGGAATCTTTTGATTTCCATCTTATCTGAATATAAGAAAGCAAACAAGATAATGTGGTTGGACAGGTGGGTCAAGCTGTGAAGTCTTTTAAGTTGCAAACCAATTCTTTGAGGAATTAAAAGCAACCATCCTTATTTTACAAACCTTTGCAAAACAAGAAATGGGGCCCTAGAAACAATTCAAAATCCCATCCTTTCTGTCAATCTAAAAACCTTCCCTTTTTTAAGTATTGTAAAAATTCAGGCCAAAGGGAACAAAAGTCCTTTCTGGAAGAACTTGCATTTTCTGCAGTGCCTTTGAGATGTAAATATTTTACCAGTATTCTTTGGGACCTGCTACCTAGACCATCCCCAACTGCCAAGTCTGAAGGAAAAAAAAAGGGAGAAAGGCTTTTAAAAAATATAAACTGCTATACAATGGAATGTTGCTCAGCTATCAAAAAAAAAAAAAAAAAAAGAAATCTTGCTATCTGCAATGACATGGATGGGAGCTAGACAATACTATGCTGAGTATAACAAGTTAGAGAAAGACAAATATCATGATTTCACTCATGTGAATTTAAGAAACAAGCAAAGGGGAAAATAAAAGAGGGGACAAACCAAGAAACAAAATTTTAACTCTAGAGAACAAACTGATGGTTACCAGAGGTAAGGTGGGTGGAGGGAAGGATGGAATAAATGATGGGGATTAAGGAGTACACTTATCATGGTGAGCACTGAGTAAGGTAAAATCACTGAGTTGCTACACCTTTCACCAGAAAGTAATATAACACTGTACGTTAACTATACTAGAATTTAAATAAAAGCTTAAATATACATTTAATATATTTATATATATATTTAATATATAAATATGATTATATATTATATTATAAGTATATTAAATAATTATAAATAATATATTATAAATATATTAAATTATTAAAATATATAATATACAGTATATAATATATATAAATATATATATATATACACACACACACATACATACATACATATATAAACTGCTATAGAAACTCCATGCCCCAAATCTAGTCTACAACTTCCATTAAGATTAACTGTCAAGACAAATCTTAAATGTCTTTTCTACAAATATTAGTAAAGAAAGGTTTGGCCATTTGAGCAGATAACCTTATCTTGGCTGGCAGAAACATAATCTGGATCCAACTGCTTTTTTTTTTTTTTAATGTTTATTTAGTTTTGAGAGAGAGGAAGAGGCAGAGAGAGAGGGTGAGAGGGGGGGGAGAGAGAGAGAGAGAGTGAGAGTGCGAGCAAGAGCAAGCGAGCAAGGGAGCACAAGCATGTGAGCAGAGGAGGCGGGGCAGAGTCAGAGGGAGATACAGAATCCAAAGCAGGCACCAGGCTCTGAGCTGTCACCACAGGGCCCAATGCGGGGCTTGGATGCAGGAACTGTGGAGATCACAACCTGAGCCGAAGTCAGATGCTTAACTGACTAAACCACCCAGGTACCCCCTGGATTCAACTGCTCTTTAATCAACCAGTGAGTTTTGCATTATCATACACATCTCATGGCTAAAATTTTAAATGAAAGTTGTTTGCTTGAGAATATCTACGGAGTGACCAGGCAGGGCTATCAGTTCTCCATGTTTACTGATTCTAAACACCCTGACGCCCAGACCCTAGGCTCCAGGGCATAAGGAACTTATTTAAGATACCAGAGCACTCAATCCTTGTTTGACCAGTTTCTGGATGCCTGAGGGCATATACACCAGGCCACCATCCTCAATAAAACTCCAGACTTCCTAGAGAAGATGAGACTCATGCTCCTTTTTCTTTCTGAGTCTCCCAGACGGTCTGTATCAGCTTTGTCTTCAATAAATTCTCTTACTTCCTTTTGGCTTGTGGTTTTATTTCCATCCTGTGCAAAGCCAAGAACCCTCTTTGCAGGCCCTGTGGCACTCCTCTGGGTTATCGGATCTGGCCTGCCTGCATCAGTCTGTCTACCTAAAAATAGTTTCTAAAAATCTTTTTGATAACTTGAAACCTTATAAATTATACTAAGTTGAAAGAAGTATCCCTGAATATCTATTTAGATCATTTCCAAATAAATAAAAAACTGAAACATTAATTACTAAACATAGGTTTATCTATTTTTTATTTATTACAAAGAAACTTAAGATAGGTTGGTCTTTTAGTAAACATGTTTGGTTCCCAGGGTACCTGGGTGGCTCAGTCGGTTAAGCATCTGACTCTTGGTTTCGACTCAGGTCATGATGTCATGGTTTATGGGTTCAAGCTCTGCATTGGGCTCTGCACTGGCAGCATGGAGCCTGCTTGGACTTCTCCCTCCCTCCCTTCCTCTCTCTCTCCCCCCTTCTTCCCTGCTTGTGCTCTGTCTGTATCTCAAAATAAATAAATAAATATTTTAAAAATCCAAATGTTTGGATCCCCACTGAAAAACTTATTATGAGAAAGAGTATCTTTTGAGAACTTACAAAATGTATTCATAAATTTGTCAATCTCAAAACTGTTGGTGTAACGATTCATAGTTATTTACTTAGTTTTCCATTAAAAATTAAGGTTTCAAAGGGTTAAAATTTTCATATATGTAATTAAACTACTAGAAATAATTGGCAGCAACCCCTCTAAAGGCCCCAGTAGTTAAGACCAGAAATAGACAAGATTGCTTAACTTGTATACTAACTGAAACCCATTGTTATTTCTTTTTGAACTTTCTTGAGGCACTGATGGAAGACATTTTGCAATGATCTGAATACTTCAACTGCCAGGCCAGAAAAGCCCTGATAGCAACGGAAGCCTAGAAGAGCACATTCCAGTCCATTCCTTGCAGAACATATACCCTTACCCATGATCACGTGCTGCCTCTTGGACGTATCTCCTGGTTCTTTCCCTATAAGGCTCCAGGTATCCATTTTGCTGAATGAGGGGTAGTTGTTAAGGCTTGAGTCACCTCCCCTGGCTGCCAGCACCCAAAATAAAGTTCTGCCTTTCTCTTTTCCAAACCCTTGTCTCTTGAGTGACTGGCTTCTCTGGCGACTAGTTTATCTGAGTTTGTTTGGTAACTGCTTTCACTGTGTCCAACCCCCTCGGGATTCCTAGGAATGGAGCATTTTACTGAGGCAGTTCACTAGCGCTTAACCGTCTGTTTCCTCAGTTAGTGGCTGTGATGCATCCAGCGATAATAGAACCATTTTTTTTATACAGGAAAGTAGGATGTGTGTTTTCAGGAGAGGAAAAGAAAGCATGAGAAATGCAGATGCAATTTTGTTGATGGAAAAGAAAGAAATTTTTTCCTCAAGTTAGGCTGGTTATTTCCGAATGGGAAAGAGAAAAAACAGAGAATAAAATCCAAAGGTACAAAAGAAAGTTATAGAAGGTTGGTGATAAGGGATTTTGGGAAAGGAATTTTATGCATGGTCAAACTGCGTAAGACTGAAATAAATTTGTTTAAATAAAATTAAAAAATGAGTTTTAATATTAAAACTACACAGGTACAAAATGAGAATTTGTTTTTCTGTTAAAAGAACACAGTTTTCTTGGATTATTGGTCTGCTCTTGATAAGAGATTATAAAGGTTTTTCTTTGCCTTTTAAAATAATCTGCTTAGAAAACAAAGATTCTACATTTTATCAAAATAATTCCCTGTGTTTCATACAGTCTTTATCAAGTCTTTGATTACTTAGGAAAACTTCATCTTTTCTAGGAAAAGAACTTTTTTTTAAAAACAAGTATGTAACTTTCTGTATTGACTGTGAAAATTTTAACTGTCCCTCTGGTTAAATGGATAACCAAGTAATGTTTCACAGTCAAATATAGTCCTACTATTTGACCAAATGTTTTAAAACCTTTCGATATTATTGGCAGTCTTCTCCCAAATCTACTAAGTGAAATCTTTTTGACCTGGAACCAACTTTGGGATTCTTCATATGGCTCTTAGTAAATTATAAAAGTGTTCTTGTTCCTTATAAAAACAAAGCTGTTAAACTGATTAGGCTTGGGGCACCTGGGTGGCTCAGTCAGTTAAGCCTCTGACTTTGGCTCAGGTCATGATCTCACATTCTTGGCTTTGAGCCCCACCTCGGGCTCTGTGCTGACAGCTCAGAGCCTGGAGCCTGCTTCGTTTGGATTCTGTGCCTCCCTCTCTCTGCCCCTCCCCTGCTAGTGCTCTGTCTCTGTCTCTCTCTCAAAAATAAATAAAAACATTTAAAAAAATACGTGAATCTGAAGTTATGACTTGTGAATACCACACAGAGGATCAGCAAAACATGCAAGAACTTCATTGGTAGTTGGAAGGGGTGCTAATGCTTTCAATTTTGATCACATCTCTCAGTTAAGCTGAGAGTATGATCAAAAGGGGGAAGATTGTTAACAAAAAATAAATAAATAGAGAGACAACAGGCCCAAAATGGAGTCACTTGTGCTAAAGCCCATGTGACCAAACCAAGACTTAATACCTAACTGAGTTACAGTCAATCTGGAATTACCTGGTCAACACTAGTGAGGTAATCTGCATGCCAGACACCTGATGTCTCCCAAAGGAAGGTGAAGCAATCCATACTTTGCTGGTAACCTCTTTGTCCTGTCTCTTTCTATTTATAAGTCTTTCATTTTGAACAGCTCTTCAGAGCTCTTTTCTATCTGCCAAATGGGACGCTGCCCAATTTATGAAATGTTGAATAAAACAGTAAGATCTTTAAAATTTATTCAGCTGGATTTTGTTTTTTAACATAGGTATTCAAATTTGCATGCTAACAATGGCTATGACAGTTTGGAGTGAGAAGAAAGGCATATGGGTTAGCTAGGATAGCATAACTATGAGTGGTTAACTTTTCGTTTTATCTCTACTTCCCAATTTCCTTCTCATATACCCTCTTTGATGTAGAAAAAAAACCAGAACCAAACATAGACACAAATTTGACAACTATTTTGGGGATTTCAGAAAACATTCTAAATAAAAGTCACATATATCTAAATGTTCAAATGGAATGATCTTAAAGTTTTAAGGAACCATGTCTGGACCATATTTACTTTCTGCCAACACACAGCAGAACCACCCTTTGAGATTACTACATACAGCGCCTATGAAGCTGAGAGCAACAAACAGGACAGAACAAAAGATGACTATACATTGGGGCACCTGGGTGGCTCAGTCAGTTAAGTGACCAACTTCAGCTCAGGTCAGGATCTCACAGTGTTTTGAGTTCAAGCCTGCTGCTGGGCTCTGTGCTGACAGCTCAGAGCCTGGAGCCTGCTGTGGATTCTGTGTCTCCTTCTCTCTCTGCTCCTCCCCCGCTCATGCTCTGTCTCCCTCTCTCAAAAATGAATAAACATTAAAAAAATTATATAAAAATATAAGTATATATCAAACAGGTAAATCATACTTTAACCAATTCATTGTGATTGTATCTGAATGATTATTTTTTCCTGAGAAAATCTGGTTCTTATATTTCAGGAGTTTATGAAATTGTGCCACAGACCCATTTTGCAGTACTTAAAGGAATAGGAAGTTAATTTAGCAAATGAAGAAGGGGTCATAAAGGAATGAGATTAATCTGTGTGTCCTGTTTTGGAGAGGGTCCGATACTTCATATAAAAAATACTTCAGGGGCACCTGGGTGGCGCAGTCGGTTAAGCATCCGACTTCGGCTCAGGTCACGATCTCATGGTTCATGGGTTCGAGCCCTGCGTCGGGCTCTGTGCTGACAGCTAGCTCAGAGCCTGGAGCCTGCTTCAGATTCTGTATCTCCCTCTCTCTCTGACCCTCCCCTGCTCATGCTATCTCTATCTCTCTCTGAAAAATAAAACATCAAAAAAACCCAAAAAGAATACTTCATATTCTTGAAGGTATGTGAAGTCTTTCTTTTTTAGGAAATCTATAATAAGCTACAAAGTATCTTACTAAATGTCCCTTGTAACTTCTAAAGCTGTATCAACTTTAAGATGCCTCTATTTCAAATTAATTTTTTAAAAAACCATTTCCTTTATCTTTCTTCAACTACGATCTATCCTTAGTGCCAAATAATAAGACCATTATTATTTGGCTTTGTCACCCCAAGAATAAAGAATTACTTCACACCTAAAAATAAAAAAATTAGCCTGGTACTTCTTGTTGGAGCCAACAAAATCACAAAGACAGTTCTGCAAAAGCCTAGACATATTCCTATTACAAACATCTTTCTGCTAAGGAGACTTACCACAGGATCTTTTATCTCAAGAGTAGCCTTAAATTTCTCAATACAGCGCTTCTGGAGGCATGGGATGGTAGTAACTTCTGGACTGGTAGACAAAATAAATACTGTGATAGCAGTAAGAAGACTGATTTCATCAAGTTCTTGATGTGTTCCATCTACTAAAGAGAAATGATATATCAGAAACATCCTAATATTGCCATATTTATTGTTTTATATATCTGTGTGAAGATGTATCTAGTTTGACAGCAACAATTTCTTTTGTGTACACAACAGTTATACAATAAACACTGATGGACTGATTTTAAGAATCCTGAAAAAGGTAGGTTTCAAAATGTGCATTTTAAGTAATTCTAGAGCCAAAATTTACCGAAGTGATTATATTCTTCACAGGTAGACATCTGTAAATACATGTGTAGATTTACTAGGAATATACATTTATTAGTTGTGTGACCTTGGATATTTAACCCCATTTCTCATTTTCTCATTTGTAAAGTGGAAATATTAATAGTACTTAATTTATTATTTATTTATTTATTTTTTTTTACAAATAGTTTATTGTCAAATTAGTTTCCACATAACACTCAGTGCTCATCCCCAAAGTGCCCTCCTCCATGCCCATCCCCCTTCCCCCCCACATCCATCAGTCCTCAGTTTTTGTCAGCATTCAAGAGTCTCTCATGGTTTGCCTCTCTCCCTTTCCCCCACCATTTCCCCCCTTCTTCTCCCCCTTGGTCCTCCGTCAAGTTCCTCCTAATCCTCCTATACGTGCAAACATATGATATTTGTCCTTCTCTGCCTGACTTATTTCGCTCAGCATAACACCCTCAAGGTCCATCCGTGTTGCTACACATGGCCAGATTTCATTGTTTCTCATTGCCATGTAGTATTCCATGGTATAGATAAACCACATCTTCTTGATCCATTCATCTGTTGATGGACACTTAGGCTCTTTCCATGTTTTAGCTATTGTGGAGAGTGCTGCTATGAACATTGGGGTACATGTGCTCCTATGCCTCAGCATTTCTGTATCCCTTGGGTAAATTCCTAGCAGTGCTATTGCTGGGTCATAAGGGAGTTCTATTGTTAGTTTCCTGAGGAACCTCCACACTGTTTTCCAGAGGGGCTGAATAGTACTTAAATTTATAAAGTTATGAGGACTGAGTTATTCACATAAAGCATTTAGAATAGCATGTTACACATATGCTCAACATGTTTTAGCTATTATATTATCATTTTTGTTGTGGAGCAGATGAGAAATGCATGTACAACTGATTTTTCTTGGTTAACAATAAGGTATTCACATTTTCATAACACAAGTGTCAAGTTTACTTACCTTGTGCTTTGCTATATATACTATTTCTTAACGTAGAGAAAAACCTAAAAATACTGCATGGGCCACATTCATTTGAAGAAATTTCCTAGTAAATGTAATTTTCCTTCATTTCCCTTCATATTTACTTTCATATTCTCATTCAATACTTTTAATGAGCCTGTTGTGAAAACTCACTGTTATTTGAAAAGGAAAAGGGGTAACAAATTCGACTCACTGTGTTAAGAATGGAATAATACTTATGAAGCAATGATATACAGAGATAGAGACAATAGCTTTGCTAACATTCATTCAATAATTAAGAAACATTCACTATGTGCCAGCACTCTTTTTGGCACTGAGAATACAAATTACAGAGAAGATATACTGTATACCACGAAGTAAATGAAGAATTTAATTTCAGCTCATCACAAAGTCCACGAATATAAAGAATTCATTAAAAGATAAAAGAAAGCAACCTAGGAGTTGCTACTTTGGGTGGTCAGAGAAATCTTCTTGAGGAGATTATATCTTAGCTGACACTTGAGAGACAGTAGCAATGAAAGCAAAATATTATGGATGACTGGAATTTATTTTATAAAAATAATTTGAATAATCTTAAGGTAAAAAAGGTACATGGGTCAACATTTAAAATTATAACATTATTATTATAAGTACTTTATATATATTAAATGTTTAATCCACTCAACAGCGCCATGAGGTGGGTACACTTATTTCTCCCATTTTATGGATGAGAGCCTGAGGAATAGAAAGAAGTTAGTCATTTGCCCAAGCTACACAATTATTAAGGCAGAAGGTCTAATTCCAGAGAGTATACTGTTAATCATGATGCTATACTGCTTCCTACAGAGCTGTTACTTTCAGTCATTCATGGCAACTTGAAACTCCAACAGTAGTTTCAACAGGAGTAAACTAGTCTGTTTGGTAAAAATGTCTTTTTATTTTCAGTAAGAAAAAGTTCTACTGGGTTCCTCTTCCCATTTCCTCTAAGTTCCTTTATTCCCCCACCCCTGCCCAAATTCCCTTATTCTCATCCTCTTTTACCTAGGATAAATACAAGATTCCCTCAGCAGTAGCCCCACGGAGAGGCCTTTGTGTTACGGAAGTGAGGCTTCAAGCTAATAGCCAGCAAGAGGCTGAAGACTCTCTCCAGCAGCCGTGAGTGAGTCATCTTGGAAATGGATCCTCTAGCTACAGCCTTGGCCAACATCTTAACAGAGAGAGACCCACCCCCCATGCTGCTCCAAATTTCCTGACCTGTAAATTATCAGATAATAAATGTTTGTTGTTTTAAGCCACTATAGTTTTTGGGCAATTCCTTACACAGAAAGGAGTTAACCTGTGACCATCAACTCCTGCTTTAATTTCTCTCAGTATACAGTCTAAATTCTCATGGTCCTAACCGCATTCTCTGATAAAAACAAAAAGCCGTGTGTGTGCGTGTGCGCGCACGCACATGTGTTTGTGTGTGTGAGATGAAAGAGGCAAGCTCAGGGTGCCTGGGTGGCTTAGTCAGTTAAGGGTCCGACTTTCGCTTAGGTCATGATCTCGCGGTTCGTGGGTTCCAGCCCCGCGTCGGGCTCTGTGCTGACTGCCAGCTCAGAGCCTGGAGCCTATTTCGGAGTCTGTGTCTCCCTCTCTCTCTGACCCTCCCCCGCTCACACTGTCTCTCTCTCTCCTAGAAATAAATTAAAAAATATTAAAAAAAAAAAAAGAAAGAGGCAAGCTCATTTTAACTCTCAACATAAAAATTACACCTATTACTTCCTATCTAAACCTCTCTTTCTTTCCTCATATTGGCAGAGGTTAATCCTTCTAAATGTGCTATGAATTTGATTTCTTCCTTATAAAGGAACATTTCTTCCTTCTCTAATATTTCCAATTCCAATCCTATCTCTACCTTCCTTTTTCCCCCACATATGCACAAATTCATGCTAGAGTCTCATCTTAAAAATTCCTTGATCCTGTATTTTTCTTCAGCTTTCTCTTTTTCTTGTCAAGAGAAATCTATACTTAATTCTTCCCTTTTTCTTACCTCCCATTCACGCCGGATTTATGCTGTTGACAACTCTCTCACCATTAAACTCTTTTCTCTGGCTTCTGTGACTGCATTCTCTCCTGAATCTCTTCTCATCTTGCTCCATAAACTCAATTTGGGTGATTTTATCCATTCCATAGGCTGCACTGACAACTCTCAGATGAAATACATGTAGTCTAAATCATCTCTAGTTCAGATAACCTTCTCGAACTCCACACCTCTATATATTTTGCTTCACAGGATTATCCTGCAGGCATTTCAAACTCAATTCACTACATTCCCTTGAAAATGTTCACTTTGCAATTTCTGTTAATGCTCAGTCAACCTACCCTTTCAATTCCTAAACCAAATTATCAGTAAATTCTGTTAATACATGCTTAATATTTCATTTTCATTATTCCACTCTTTATCCAAGAATCATGCTTTCTTTTCTATAGCTGCCACAGTGATTTTTCAGAAATGCAAATCCTATCACTTTACTCTCCTTCTTAAGGATTCTACATGCATATTCAAAGCAGTCCAAATTACAAACCATGCAAACCCTCCATAAAACCAGCCCCATGTACCATTCAGCCTCATCTCTTTACTAATCACTATTCCTCACCCTCCTCTTTTCCCCTAACCCCACATTCTTTCATTACTCTATACATGCTGTCCCCAAACATACCATACTATTTAGTTCTATACATCAAAATGTTGTGCCTAGAACCTGTTTCTACGATGTCCATGTGGAAAATGCTTCCTAATCCTGTAAGAAATTGACTTTTCTTTAACAGATGGTGGTGGGAGAACTGGACAGCAACATGCAGAAGAATGAAACTAGATCATTTTCTCACACCATACACAAAAATAAACTCAAAATGGATAAATGACTTGAATATGAGACAGGAAACCATCAAAACCCTATAGGAGAAAGCAGGAAACAACCTCCTTAACCTCCACTGCAGCAATTTCTTACTTGACACATCCCCAAAGGCAAGGAATCAAGAGCAAAAATGAACTGTTGAGACCTCATCAAGATAAAAAGCTTCTACATGGCAAAGAAACAATCCATAAAGCTAATAGGCAACTGCCGGAATGGGAAAAGATAGTTGCAAAGGACCTATCAGATAAAGGGCTAGTATCCAAAATCTATAAGGAACTCACCAAACTCCACACCCAAAAAACAAATAATCCAGTGAAGAAATGGGCAGAAGACATGAACAGACAATTCTCCAAAGAGGACATCCTGATGTCCAACAGACACATGAAACGATGCTCAGCGTCCCTCCTCATCAGGGAAATACAAATCAAAACCACACTGAGATACCACCTCACGCCAGTCAGAGTGGCTAAAATGAACAAATCAGGAGACTATAGATGCTGGCGAGGATGTGGAAAAACGGGCACCCTCCTACACTGTTGGTGAGAATGTAAGCTGGTGCAGCCCCTCTGGAAAACAGTGTGGAGGTTCCTCAAAAAATTAACAACAGAACTCCCCTATGACCCAGCAATAGCACTGCTAGGAATTTACCCAAGGGATACAGAAATGCTGATGCATAGGGTCACATGGACCCCAATGTTCATAGCTGCACTCTCAACAATAGCCAAAACGTGGAAAGCCTAAGTGTCCATCAACTGATGAATGGATCAAGAAGATGTGGTTTATCTATACCATGGAATACTACATGGCAATGAGAAAGAATGAAATCTGGCCATGTGTAGCAACTTGGATGGACCTTGAGGGTGTTATGCTGAGCGAAATAAGTCAGGCAGAGAAGGACATATACCATATGTTTGCACTTATAGGTTTATTAGGAGGAACTTAATTGAGGACCATGGGGGATTAGAAGGGGAAAAATAGTTGGGGAGAGGGAGGGAAGCAAACCATGAAAGACTCTTGAAAGTTGAGAACAAACTGAGGGCTGCTGGGGGTGGGGGCAAGGGGAAGGGGGGTGATGGGCATGGAGGAGGGCACTTGTTGGGATGAGCACTCGGTATTATATAGAAACCAACTTGACAATAAAATATTTAAGAAAAAAAAAAGAAATTGGCTCTTCTGAGAAGTCTCTTAGTAGATAGATATACAGGTGTACCATGAGATCCCCTTCATGGGGAAGGATGCTGCCCAGCCATGGGGATTATGGTGATCTAGCTCCTTCAGGGTTGGCCTCAAGCTTGAGTTGCTTTGACTGAGTTCACACCTTTCCTGGGGTAGCCCATATCTGAGGATAAAGTACAGGCCATTTCTGTCCTATGTGAGACGCTCAGATAGGCAGGCAACCTGTAGAGCTCCTGGCAAATTTGTTGAGCTTTGTCAGGGGCTTGCACTGGAGTCCAACTTCTTCTTTGCCCAATGATGCCTTTCCTTACTCCTTTCACAACTACCTACAGATGTTGTTCCTTAATAAACGTTTTGCTTCCCAAACTCCATCTCAGCCTGAGCTTCCAGAAAACCCTACCTGTGACACTCTGCCTGATTTACTCAAGCAGGGCTGATTAGTCTAAGTTTTTATTAGTCTCTTTTTTACTCTACTTAGAAATGCAGTGATAATTAAGATATTACTGTTGCCTTCAAGGAGTATTTTATGCTATTAATCATACATGTTAACCAAATGACAATTTATAGGAACTACACTCCACGCAACTCCCAACTTTGGGCACAAAGTAGGTGGTCAATAAATGCTCAGTTCAACTGATACTTTTATAACATATGAAATAGACTATGGTGACTTGTGACATTTTATTAACAGAACAAGGAAGGCAGGGACAATATGTAATATGTCTAAGGACTTTACAATCACCATGGCATCATGTTGAATACAAAAACTACACAATAATAACAAGAGTAAGACAAATTTTATAGATACTGAACATAATACTACTTATCATTTATTGATATATGTCAGATAATAAGCAAGACGCTTTCCATGTATTATGTTACCACTCTAACAATTTCCTGCAACACAATACCCTTATTCTGTTAATAAGAAAACTAAGGCTCAGAGAAGTTGGGTAACTTGGCTAGTCAGAGTGCCAGTAAATGATGGAATGAGGATATAAGCCTGATCAGTCTTATTTTAGATTTACAATGTGTAATTTACACACTTTTGCCACCTAGTTATGGATCACACTGTATTTGTAAATTAATATTACATTTTAAGGTCTCTCACTATCAACTTAATATACAGGAGGCCAGTCATTTAACCGCATTAAAGAGTAAAGATACTAAAATGAGAACACAGATGTTTCTATCTACTTATACATAATCTCTAAACACATATGTAATGAATATACCATTCCACTTGCTTTTTAAAACAAGCTGAACAACTGCTTCCCAACAGCCTTAATTACCTGGATCCCAACAGTCAAGTACTGTTGTTAAAGCACTACGGAGAAGATCAGTCCAAGCAGTGTGACTCTTTTCTGCTCTGGCCATGGGAGAAGACAATATTCCTTTCAGAGCCTGCAAGGCAGCTGCAACAGTTGGAGATAACTGGCCCCCAGGTAACTTCACAGCAGTTTCTCTGAGGACCCCAATTGTAAGGTACAATATGGTAGGGAGAACTGAGATGCTTCCTGTAAGATACATTTTTAAAGACACTTTGTGTTTCAGTATACATACATATATATATACATACATATATATATATATATATATACACACACACACACACATATATATATATAGTTCCTAAAAATAAATCGTCAATGAGTAAGGAACAAAGATTTCTAGGCTTTAAGACATTTTTCATAAAGGATTAGAACTGTTAAGATTAACTTAGGTAGTGTTAAGATTTTTAAGACTGGATTACATTTTGGTTATAATTGAAAATGTTATTTAAATTATATCACAGTCTCGGGGCGCCTGGGTGGCTTAGTCGGTTAAGCGTCCGACTTTCGCTTGGGTCATGATCTCGCGGTTCGTGGGTTCGAGCCCCACGTCGGGCTCTGGGCTGACTGCCAGCTCAGAGCCTGGAGCCTGTTTCAGTCTGTGACTC